CTCGTATCCGGTATTTTTGGCGGATAGGTCAGTATCTATCGTGCTGGTCTTCTGAGCTGCGTATGATAAACTTGAGAGGATAAAGACGGAGGCATTAGTATTCGTTCTGGAGGCCAACGAGGAAAATGGAATGTCTCGGGGGTGGGTGGGAAGGGAGATGAAGAAGTGCGCGGCTATGTCAAACGGACCTTGAGAGCGATTCGATGTGAAACCTCACGCCGGTGGCATCCATGTTGACAGCAGGCCCCGTTTCCGGTTGACCAAAACCATGATACTGTCTTTGGCCCCGTGGTACCAGTGAAACCCTGGTCGCCATAGCAGCAGATGTTGGTAGCGCCTTGATGTTCTCGCTGATTCCGATGGATGTGGAGTGTGTCAGCATGAGACATCCACGGACGAATATGATAGGCGAGGGATATAGACTCACTGATATGTGATCACACGGACAAAAGATCTATTCGCTACTGTCGCGGCTATGATCGTGGCAGGGTCGGAAACCATATACATGACAATCGGGTTGACACCGGGGAAGAAGGCAATGATCGTGACGGTGAGATAGCAGGTGAAGGCAACTACGGGTTATATTCTGAATCAGACAACATTTATCGCCAGGGATACCATAGAGATCCGGGCGAACTCACTGATAAAGTATGCCAGTCCATCAAGGAACAGGAGATTCCAAATACTTGAGGCGCCGGGGAGCTTGAGCAATGCACGGAACGCAAGGCAGAGGACGATGAGGTCGAACGACATTGCTGAATAATATTCTTTTAATCAGGGCAAGATTATTTTCACTTGGAAACGTGCGCTTACTGTAGATAAACTGAACCCTTGTCCAATCCCGGTTTACAGTTAACACCAAGCAGATCTGCTCTGTGGCTGACCATGTGTTCGTGGTGATGAACATGTTGTGAAGCAATATGATCCACTGCCCAATGCTCAGGAGAACCATGGGGCACAACACCCTTGGATCGAACTGCCACAGCGCCAAACTCCGCATAAGAAGCAGGTTCGACGCGGCGGCGATGGCTGTCCGACCGCTGAAGTCGATAAAGGTGCCTATCACCGTACAGTTCAACGGAGTCGTTACTTGAAGCATGATGTTTCTGGGTGCCATGGAGAAACCTTCTTAAGCAGTAGCCTGAGTTCAAATGGAGGCGGACTCACATGGCAACGATAAACCAGAACGCGAAATATTTTGACCACCAGTAAACAAGCATCGGCCATTTGAATTGTATCTTCCCTCGGAGGACCTCAAGATCAAACCAACCAGACTGCAAGATTTCCCAAATATACATGCCTAGCATGACGAGGTCGACCTTCGCACCCTGAGCAGGAATTGTCGAGTCGGTCATTCGTGCCTCCGAAGAGTAAAATGTAATGGTTAAGCTGAGATAATTTGCGAAATAGTGAGAGGGAGAGGAGTGAAGTAGGTAGAGTAAGGCTAGATATATGTCTTCGTGGAGCAAATTCTTGGTACGAGGTAAAATGACTTGAAGTAATAAACCCTAGGATCAGTCGCGGAAGCCCGAGGCATGCATACATGGTAGGCATGCGGTAAGCAATGATCGAGGGGACCAGTGAAGATAGCAGGGGGAGACCATATGGACGGCCGGGAATATCCGGACCTCCCGGAGCCGTATTTTTGGCTATGGTTCCTTGCACCGTCAAATTGCCCTCGTGCTGAGTTATGTTTTGGGTATCGTTGCGGAGAAAGAAACGTGCTATGCTTTGGGCTCGAAACTGCTCAAAGGCTGAGAGCGGTTGCATCCCCATCCGAATGCTCGTTCGACGCACAACACTATGCTGTACCTCGAGATAAGTGCTTTGGGACCCTGGCTCCCATTAGAGCTACTGAGAGGAATGGCAATAGGCAACTCGTTGTAGGCAACGGTTACTTGTATCGTATTTCCCGATGCAGGCGGATCACCACTTGCAACTTCTTTCCCACGGAAAACGTGGATGTTCTCGCGTCGCTCCGGCCTTTTTTTTCTGATCTTTAAACTATACTTGCCAACAGTCATGAGGAAGCCTCTCTCAGAAATTTTTGGCCCTCTCCGCGATGGAGCAATGTGTGATAGGGAAAGCGGATAGGACGCCAAGCGCTGGGAATGCATCAGGAATTGACCACGCCATGACCGCATTTTGCAACGTTCTTGGGTATAATATTACTCGTTGAATATTTTGCGCTGTGGGTTTGGGTTATTGTGTCGACATGACTAGCTTGGAGGTCATCAGGGTGTATCGATTCTCCGAAGTAATAAATGTGATTCAGCAGCCGTGACGCTACACCAGAAGCACCATCAGGTCAACGACAGGAATCCAAAGAAGAAAGAGGGCAAGAACAATAGGAACGAAGTGCTGAAAGTACGGAGGAGGACTCCTGTGCGGAGCATCGTCTAGATGTATAGAAAAAACCCATGATGGAAGTGGATGGCAGATGGAACGGAGGGGAAGAGCCGGGAAACGGTGGTGGTGAAGTGTTGTCGTTTCTCGGTCTGCGGAGGCGTTGGTCAGTGAAAAGACCAAGGAGCGTTGCATTGGAGTGGGGGCGAGCACTCACGAGAAACTTCAAGCGATCACGCAATACCCGCCCTGTCCGTTGCCACCTTCAGCATCACGGAGGGTCTCCTCATCAGTGGAGGAAGCGGTGGAGAAGGGAGAGAGCGAGGAGATGATCTGGAAGGCGTCCATTTGAGTGGTTGAGTGAAAGGAGAGGTGGTAGTGGAAGAGGAGGATGAGTGATGAAGAGAGGTGATTGGGCTTGAGATTGATGTCCATCACGGCTCATTCTACAAGAGCTTATATAGGGCTGGACGCGAAAGGTCCAGGCATCCACGGCGAACTCAGTCGTCAACCGCATCGGGAAGAAAGCTCACAAAGAACAAACGCAACTTGAGAAACACGGAATCAACATACTCTCGGTGCCTGTTATGAAACTTCGTGTCATGGCACAGTCTAGAATCCTCTTGTATGGTGGCTGGTTTCCAATTTGGGGGCAAGAACCCCAGGGTCCCATGCCAAGAGCAACGGGGTACCGTTTTTGAATGACAAGAAATGATGCCGCAGATGGGCACAAAATTTGTTCGTAGGAATCGGGAGACAATGCTCGTTGTGGACCAGCGTTCACATCATCGGTCAATAATGACTAATAGCAGCGATTCTTTGCGTAGATCATGTGCCCTGATTCTTGTTTGCGCCGTCTCAAATCAACCAACATTTGTTTGGAATATGGTACGTCCCATCGTGCTCCTCCCTCTGGAGGCGAGCGACACTTGTCATGCCACAAGTTTTTATTCGGGCCATCGCCGACATCGCGGCCTTCCGACCGACCCCGCATCGATGGCTTACGCATCACACTTCAGTCGTTGGTCAGCAACCTCGAAAGCCACACTGAGAGACCCTCTGCCGTGCTACATATATAAACCTAAAAACGATTTTAGTTTGAATTCACTCTCTAAATCATGCCTGCTATCAAAGCTCCAGCCACCGTCCTCGTTACCGGCGCATCCGGCTTCATCGCAGCGTCATGCTGCCAAGAGCTCTTGAGACGCGGCTTCAACGTCCGAGGAACTGTACGATCGAAAGAAAAGGGAGAGTACTTAGCTAAATTGTTCGAGAATGAGCCAAGCAAGTTCGAATTTGCGATCGTCGAGGACATGCAATTAGTGAGTAAAAGTCTTATACCTCTGTTTCGGGCGGGAGTATCTGACAATACTTGTAGCCGAACGCGTATGACGAGGCTGTACGGGGAGTAGATGCAGTTGAGCATGTCGCAAGCCCTGTTACTGGCTCAGCATGGGCTGGTGAACCAGAAGGTATGATTTTCCTCTGCTGTGAGGCTGATCACATCGGCTAATTTTTCATCTTTTGATGCTTCGATTAGAGGCACTGAGGCCAGCTATAAACGGAACTCTGGGTGTACTCGAAAGTCTGAAGAAACACGCGTGAGTATCCTGAGGCAATGAAACTAATAGACGACTGATATGCCATTGTGACAGACCCGGTGTCAAGCGCGTGGTTGTCACTTCTTCCATGGCAGCCATAGGCAAGGAACTAACGCCTTCCTCTTGGAATCAAGCTGCAGTTGATGAAGTTAACAAGAGCGGCAAGGCTGCGGCCTTGGGGATGAAATACAGCGCGTCCAAGGTTCTTGCTGAACGCGCTGCTTGGGAATTCGTGGAGAAGAACCGGGGAGAGATCGGATTCGATCTCGTAACAATCTGTCCACCTCTTGTGAGCGCTTGCCACACCTCAGAGTGATAAGACAGATCTAGGCTCACTTAATTCTTATGCATAGGTCGGGGGTGTAAGTCCCAGCGAAGAACTAATGAGGATTACGCCATCACTAACATCCGGTTTATCCTTTCTAGCCCAACATTCAGGAAGGAGGCATAAGTCACTCTTGCGGGATGTATCTCTCAGCACTAGACCCGAAGAACCGCAAGAAAGGCACCGAGTTGACTGCCCGATGGGGGTCGTATTGTGATGTTCGTGACATGGCCGCCATGCACGCTGATGCCTTGATGAAACCTGAAGCAGGGGGTGAGAGACTTATCGCAACGGCAGGTCAGTTTTTGGATTTTTGAATTGTCTACCCACCTCCGGGGTGTTTGCTGAAACTGCGAGGAAGGTCCTTTCAATTGGCAGATGGTCTACGAGGCTCTCGGAGTTCCCTTCGAGGAGCCCGCTGAGAAGGCTGGACCCATGGCCTCAGCTGATAACAGCAGGACATCAGTGGTTCTTGAGAAACCGCTTTCGGAGATTTTTCGACCATTCGCTGAGACGCTTAAGGATACGGTCCAGAGTGCACGTGAGAGAGGGTGGGATGTGAAGTACAATTGAGAATGGGAGGAGTTTGGGCTGAATGTCACGTATCAGAGGAACGTAATACATCCTCGCTTGACGTTTTGAAGATTCGTGAGTGACCTAGGTGAGTATTAGATGGGAAGATTGTGTCGTCCAGGGCAAAGAGGGTTTCGTTTGGAGTGACAAAAGAGGGCCCCCACCGCGATTCGAACGCAGGACCACCCCCAATTATGTGCGACACGATGTCTACACGGAATTGCTCCCGAAGGGGGTATCGTACCACTAGACCATAGGGGCTGATGAGAGCCAGTCTATTCTTATAACCTATCAAAAAGAAATATTTGTAATTACCGCCAGTCGCTAGAACGAGGCTAGAACTTCGCCGCACTTTAATTGTAATCGCTTCGGCAATCGCCAGCTTGAAGCAAGCGCTCAGAGAAGTTTTGTACATGAGCTTTATCGACTCCAAATTTAAATCTATCATTGAATGACCTTGACGGACGAAGAAATGAGGTACGGGAACGAAGCAATGAGAATCAGAAACGAGAAAGAATATCAGAATAGATCGAGAAAGTCATTCAGAAGCGTAGTCCATCTATCACCATTGAATAGGGTAACCTCACGGACGCCTGGACGACGAAGCGGACGCACTGTTTCGCGATCGTTTAACAGATCTCATCAACTCCCCGTGCCGCGAGCGCTTGGATCCACCAACGGGCGAAGGACTCCCTGGGGAGCGGTGAGGAAGTGCCGATGGAGGTGGGTCGGTCCAAAGGAGACTCTCGTCCCCAGCCTTGAATTTGTTGAATAGATCGTTTACTGGCCCGTACGCTGACTGGCCCGTTCTACACAATTCTGCGTATGCTCGGAGGAAGAGGGTAGCGTGGCTATACTTTCCTGGGATGACGATTTCGGTGGGATCGGCTAGTATGAGGGCCTTCTTGTCGGCAACAACGGAGGTTTCCGCATGGTTCAGGTTCTTCAGAGTATCGGTAACCCATAGGTCGGGGTTGGTATCGCCTGAATAGGTGAGGCAAATCCAAAGAAGAACCCAAAAAAGTGATTCAATATCGTGGCCGACTTCATGGGCGGGTCGAGGGTTCCGATTTCTGGTCCGAAGCAAGGTGACGGCGATAAATGGAAGCGTTCCCTGGTAATGCGTAGTCAGCGTCATCACAAATGGGCGAGAAGTGTGCACAGCGCAAGAGGCTCACCGTCAGATGATGATGGAGTTCACTTCCTTCTTGAGCTTGACCGCCTTTTGGTATTCTCATAGCTAGGCCAAGATCGATGAGAAATCCTCGAGGTGTTTTAGAGGGCGTCAGCAGGAGATTCCCGAATGAAATATCCCGATGTATGATTCCTTCCTGCCACAAGCGCCAGATCCCTATGTAGCAAAGAGTCAGAGTCCGGCGGCGAATGGTCATAATGGCACAAATCTCACCATTCAAACAATCATGAGCGACGGAAATAAGTTGCGTGACATCGGTTGCAAAACTCAAGGGTGCACCAATTTGATCAAAGACGAGCCTGAGAAGAACCCTCTCCAATTGTGGCCTCTTCTCGTCCGGATGATGTTTCCAGCGCCCCGCGCAATAGAGTGTTTTTACCGGCGCAGGGTGTGTCGATGCCCGCGATCTTCGGGTTCCTCGTGATGCTTGCGTTGACTGGAGCCCTGTGGTCTCCCTCTTCGCCGGTATGGATGACCTAGGAGCGTCACCGGGTTCATCCATCTCAGCAAGCCATTCATCCAAAGTGGGAGTGGCAGGAGCTGGCGCCTTCGACTTCACCTCCACGTCTGCCTTCCTCCAACAGCCGGTGACATCGGGGTCGGCGATACGTTCGCGATACTCCCGTGTGCTATCCAGCTGTTCGAAACACATCAGATGCCCGACCTCTTCTATCCCGTTCGCTTCGTCGTAGAAGGAGGCCTCATGAGGCCTCGAATCATCTTGGTGGTTCTGCTTGATGATACGCAGCTGCTTTTCTGGGACTCCGTGAATCACCTCTGAGCAGACCCAGACGGTGGTGGAGCGGCAGAAATTGTAATCTAGGGCAACTCTGGCGAGAATCTTTTTCAGGTGGAAGATCCTAGATCGAGGCCCCCCAGCCTCCAGGCGCGATCTGCGAGGTATCCGATGTTCTCCGTCTCGTTCTTGAAGGTCCTGGACTTCACTTGGCGAGATGGTGAGGGTAGTGTTCATCATCTTGCTAGAATGAACTCGACCGGAGTTTGAAAATGCCAGATCGAAACCCAGGCCCTCGGGACTCAAAGCGGCGAGGCGGCCGATCAATTCGATAAACCTTTCGGGCTCTTCGTGATAGGCGAGCGGCTCGGTCACATAACAGGCAGCGCTGTCCCACCGAAAGATTCGGCACTCGTCCTTACTGATGAGGAGGGTGTAGAAGAAGTTGCGTTCAGGTTGATCCATCCTCATGGCGCGTGCGTAGCGAGCAACCTGTGCCACGGTTTCCGAGTCGAAGATGGTATCGAACTTGACTTCAATGCCAATCCGGACGTCCTTCCACATCGCACGGTAGCCCGGCTGTACCGTGACTTCGTCGTCTAGTACTAGTGCGAGATCTGGGAATAGGGCAGAATCGGCCGCATTTTTGTGGTGGAAGTGGAACTGCTTGCCGTGGGTATTGACAAAGACTCGTTCGAGAGGTGATTCGACAGCCTTCTTCCGTTCGACAATAGGAGGGGAAGTGGATCCTACAGCCTTCTTCGATTTAACGATCGGCTTGGGAATGGGATCGACTGGTTGCTGCCACTGTCCATCGCCTGAGAGACCACTGGTACGAAAGAAGCGTTGAATAGAGGTCATCAATTTGATGAGGGGAGCATAGAGATGATTTTCCTTTTGCTGTCGGTCCCTTAACGGCTCGGCATGGCGAATCTCTGTTTGGAGTGAATTAAACGCGTGATCTTCATGGTCAATTGGCGGATCCTCGGTCTGATTTGATCCTCCGGCAGTCGGAGGCAAAACATCCATGGAGGGCTGAGAGGTTGAGCGCGAGCGAGGCTTGGGACGAAGGTGGCGAAGGTTGGGGTTCACGATAGGCTGCGGATCTCGCTCCTTCCTGGCAGTACCTTCCAGTGCGTTGAGGCAGCGTGTTGCAACTTCACGAAAACCAACCAGGGTTGAAGAGTTGTCCACCACCATTGTCGATGGACTAAGGTAGGCCTCAACGAAGCTGTCGTATGTGACCTCGAAGAGGGTGTCTTTGAAGTCCTCCGTGATGAATGTGTTAACGACGCCTTTGGTTTCGTTTGTCGCGGTCACGATTGGAATAGATTTGATCGGCGTCAGTCCAGAAGGCATAGTTGAAATGGGGTAGCGATAAGAATGTAGGCAAGCTCACCTTCCTCCGAGTCTGTATATGTATTTTTTACGGAGTTGGAATATATCCCTTGACTTTGTCGTTCTGGTGTGGTGGCCATTGGTGATTTGTTGATTCTGTTGTTGAAGATGGACAATGAACGAAACGGTCGAAAGGACCAAAACGCCGCTTACGTGGTTCACCCACACGACAAACGAAGACCCTTTTGGCAAGGAACACTGAACAAAGATAATACATGCCTTGAGAAGATTCTGGAACTATAGAGGCGCTCACCTGATAAATTGAATTTTCGTGATTGTTCGGTGTCACTCGATGGCGGGCAAATCCCCCAAGCCGCATAGCAGACCGATGTCGTAAGCACTCCCACATCCGAGAAAGCTTTAGCGTCGCAGGAGACATCCTTATAATGTAAGTTGAAATGACTCCACTGGTATATGCTCCTTTGAGAGGAACGATGGTCCTAAATGTATGGGCACATATGATTGCCTCGCATTTGTGTTTGGGCGGCTCACTCAGGATATCGATCATCTTGTTGTTTCGTGCTTTTTAGTATACATATTCAAAAGAGCGTCTTCCGGCACCTGTTGGTCGAGGACTTGAAAGGAATGGCGTAGTGAGCCGTGCCTTGCCGTTGTTACAGTTTGTAGGGACTTCCTGCTCAGTGCTATGCATATCCCGAGACCTGTAATACCCAATACATATAAAACGAGCTCATCCTATAGTCCTATATGCTCACTGCTTTTGCTGTGAATTTCATAGCCCGTTAGAATATATCAAAACGATTGGGGCGTTGGGCTATCGTAAAGTGGATTTAATTCCTTTGGAGACAATTCAAGGGTTAAATCAACGTAAGAAGGTTTCGACCCGGTTCATCTCACCTACGCTGTAAAACTCACATCCAACAGATTTCGTGACCACCGATACCGATAGCCACGTGTGAACGCGTCGTTCAATAATCGCGTAGCGCAAGTGAATAGTCTATGGTAGCGTCATCCGCATTCCGCGGGTGAAAAGTCGAAAAGTTTGAAACGTGTTATCGACCATGCAGAGTACACCCTATTCGCACATCTCAGTTCTCGGTACTCATACGAGCGACTCCGACAGATGTCTTCACCTTCTTTGGTGATCAGCTATAGCTCCGCCTCGAGTCGTCATCAGGGATGGGTCGAAGTCCACTCACATGCGCTTTGCCGCGCATCCCTGGGATCACCTTTAACCTGTCGCGCATTGAGAGGTTTTAATCCCTTATTTATCAGCTCTTAGTGAACATGGTACATGTAATAGTTGATGATGGACACTCTTGCCTCAGTCTAGGACCCATCGGTCCACTGAGTGGCAGAAATAAAACCCATGCGACATATATGCATGCTTTAGAATGGAGATAATTGATTAAGGTGGGTAATGATAAGTGAAGAGCGAGAAGCCTGTGGCAAATCACGAAAGGACTGACGAGTGTTCAACCATAAGCCTCCTTTACGGGCCGGGCTGATCTTTATTCGTCATGCTTCCGTCGCTCTAAGGATATGAGAGATGTGCCAGGCCCGATCTTGGAGAAGATGTGAGTCGGTCTTTCAGGTTGGCTCCTGCACTACCGAACACGTCATCGGGGTGCACAATATTGTCGGTCTGAGCATCCGTTAAATATTTAGCTTGGTTCAAAACATATTATTAAAATAAATCTGGATCTCTCAATTCGGGCACGCAGGTCCGAAGAGAGGTCTTCCCAAGCGAAGGAAGGAGGTACAAAAACGAAATGGTCGAAATAAGAAGTGAGAAACAACGCCAACAGATAAGATCTTTCCGAAGCGTAGTTCCTTTCATTGCCATTGGAATATAATAGCATCATTGGGGCCTCGACAACGAAGCAGACGCACTATTCCGCGATCGCTTGACAGACCCCGTCACCTCCTCGTTCCGCAATCGTTTGGATCCGCTCATAAGGGAGGGACTAC